AAACTACGCTTTTCAGCCAGGTCACCACATAGTAGTTCGGTGTATCTCTTCTGTTTGATCGGCTTTGATGTTGATTCGGCCTGCTTTCACAGCGAGTTGAGGCCATGGACAAGATCACGCTGGACCCTCAAGCAAGCCACGATGCATTCGTCAGCAATTCGAGCGAAGCTCCGGTTGTGGCAGCAGCGGACGGCGCGCCCGCGGCTCCTGCCTCGGGATCCCCCCGCTCAGACGCCGTGGGGTCTGAATCGTGCGTCCTCAAGCTGAAAGGATTGCCATACTCGTAAGTTTTCCGAAGAAGGAACGCGGGGGCCCTTCACGCCTTTCAGCTGCGTGCCCCTGCCCGTGCAGGTGTGCCGACGCGCACACCCCTCACCACCGCGCCCATATCCCTCTCACAGCGTCGGAGAGGCCCAAATCAGAGACTTCTTCACCGGTTACACGGTACGTCACTCGTAAACATACCCAAAATCTGCGCTTACGGAAACACTACAGCATGTACAGACAATTGCCCTTGCTGCCTTCGCCTTTGATCGCAGTTGAAAGAAGTGGCGTTTGTCTACGAGCCAGATGGACGGCCCAGCGGGCTGGTGAGTGCTCGGCATCGGGCGCAGCGCAGCGGCTGCGCTCTTGTGCGAATGTCCAGCAGCAAGGCCGTACGTGAGTAGGGCGGTGCCGCAAGGCAACCATCAAGCTATCGTCCTCGCGGCACCCTTTGCAGGCCTTCGCCGAGTTTGCATCACGCGATGAGGCGCTGCAGGTGCGCGACTGCCCTCCAGCTGCCACTCAGCGCCCGGCAGAAACCCGCAGCGCGCTCGCCACGAGTGTGCGAGCTCCCACAGCCGCACCGCCCACATTTGAAGGGGCCTGCGCCTGCCTTTGGCCGAGCCGAGCCGAGCCGCCCCAGCTCCACTCGCTGTGTCTCCGCACCCTTGGCGGCATTCCCCCGCAAACACCGAACTCCAGCCTCACGCCAACGGCCGCAGGCCATGTCCAAGAACGGGGCGTACATAGGGGAGCGCTACGTGCGCCTGCTGCACGTACCAAAACAGGAGATGCAGGAGCAGGTGGGCCGGCGGCGCGCGCACCCTCTAGTGCGAGCGCGTCCGCGCACACGCGTGCCGCGCGCGTGTGTGCAGCGAGGGTGGCCGTGGAGGCGGCACCGGCAGTGGCTCGCCAGCAGTGGCGGGCGGGCGGACAGGGACGGACAGTTTGTAGACTCGCACACATGAAACACCCTTGCCTTTTGTTCATCAGGTCCGCCTGGGTACCGCAGCTATCCCCGGCAACGGCAACCGCCGCGGCCGCCAGCAGCCCAACCTAGCCATGCGAGGCGCCGGCGGCTTCGACCCCCGCGGCGGCCTGCAAGGCTACGCCGGCGCTGATCACGCGCGGCTCCCGCACGGCGCGCTGCTGCAGCCGCCGCAGCGGCCGGCGGAGTTGCAGGCGTACGGTGCGCCCCACGCGCACGTGCACGTGCACCTGCAGCAAGCCGGCGCAGGCGCCGGCCCGCACCTGCAGCAGGCCGGCGGCGGCGGGCCGATGGTCGGTGCGGGCGCCAGGCACGGGCCGATTGTAGCGGTTGCAGGGCCCCACGGGCAGCTGAGTCAGCTCGTGCACCTCGCGCCACACCACGGCGGCCTCGTCCAGCTCGGCCACGGCGGGGTGCCCCAGGGCGCGCAGCAGGAGCTGGTGCCAGTCGCCGTCGCCAACGCGCCCATGGGGTGGGTGCGCGGAGCCGCGGCTGCGGTCCCGCGTGCGCCGCGGTGCCCTGTGCGGCTGCCTTTGTCGACGGCCGTTGGCCCTGCTCCTTTGCCACACTCAATCCTGAGAGCGTGGGCGTGCCAATGGTGCTCTGATCGCCTCGACTCACCCTGCACCGCACCGCACCCGCGCGCCGCGTGCGCATGGCGAACCTGCAGGGTGACGCACCTGCAGATGGCGCCGCCCCACTTGGCATTGGCGTACCAGCTCGGCGGCATGTCCCTCGGCGGCCCTCCATCCGGCGCGCAAGGCGGCCACGGCCCTCACGTGGGCCACACGCAGCAGCTCGTGCAGCAGCAGGGCGGCTACATTGGCGGCGGCGGCGGCGGCGGCGGTGTCTACGGCGCGCCGCTGGGCGGCGGCGGCTACGGGCAGCAAGTGGCGACCGCGGCGCAGCCCGTGATGGTGATCGGCACCGAGTCAAAGACGGTCAAGATCAGGGGGCTGCCCTTCCGCGCGACGCCGCTCGACATCTTCAACTTTTTCGAAGGGTGCGCTCCGACGGCGGGCGCGTACGCGGTCGTTCACGCGCCGCCGCCGTCTGCACCGAGCGCCAAGCCGCCGGCCGCGGCGCCCGCACGCCCGGGGACCCCTCCCCCTGGCCTGACACGCAGCCGGCCTCGTCCCCCTAGCGGCACGCGGCTTCGGCCTGTGCTTCTCATCCGCAACCCGCCTGGAGTTATGGCTGCGTATCAGCCCACCACCTTGTCCGGACTCGCACTCCCGAACTCAAACCCAAATCCAAATTCCTCGCCTCCCCCTCCCTCACCCTTCCTTCCTTTCATGACATCTTGTTGACCCTTACCAAGGTACGACCACCAGGTCGACTCCCTGCAGCTGGGCGTGGACGCCCTCGGCCGCCCCAGCGGCGAGGCCTGGCTCACATTCAGTAGCTGCGAGGAGGCGCTGAGGGCGGTGCGCGAGCGCAACCGCCACTACCTCGGGAACCGCTACCTCGAGCTGTCGCTGACGTGATCTGGCGGGACGGGGGTCTGGCGCAGCGACTGGGGCCGGGCGCGCCGGCGCGCAGCCTGGTGCGGCGGCGCGGCGTTCGTTCTTGTTGACAGTGGGGAGGGGGAACCGGCGCGAACGCCAGAAACAGAGACACAGAGAGAGAGAAACCACACGGGGGGTTTGGTGTGCACGAGCGCCAAGCGCGAGTGCGCGTGCGCGCGGGCCGGCCGAAACGCCGGCCCGTGCGCGGGCGCGCGTGCCTTGAGGGCACATCGGGTTTGCTGCTGGGTGCGCGCCTCAGTGCGCACTGACAGCTCTGTCGCGTCCCCTGCGCCTGCGGGTCAATTTGGGCCTTTCTCTCAGCACTGCTCCGCACGACATAGGCCAAAGGGGCCGCGCATGCACGTGCGTGGCGGCCCCCTGCCGCGGCCGCCAGCTGTCACGCTCCGAATGTGGTGGCTGGTGGGCGGTGCGCAGCGACACGTGCGGGGTCGGCCGCCCCAACACACTCATTACTCATTAGGCTCGGCCGCCGGCCATTGATGCGTTTTCAGGTGTGTGGGGCCGCTTGCCCAGGGTAGCCCTCTGGCTGCCAGCGCTAGAGGAACCCTGCTCGGCCCCAGCTTGGCCCGCCCCTGCCGCTGCTCCTCATCCTTGAGGCTGTGCGCCGTGCCGCACGCCGCTTTGCCTGCGCGCTTGGCAGGCGGCGCGCGGAAATCCGCCTCGCCAGCGGCCGAGCGCCTGCGCCGCCCGCGCGCGCCGGGATCGCGCGCGCCGGGGTCGGCGGGCGTCGCGCGGGGGCGCCCGTGCTGCCTGCCCAACCTGCCTGTTTGAAGGCTTTGCATCGCCCAAAGCGTCTGGAAATCTTCTCTATGCCCAATGCCTCGGAGAACATGTCATCTGCACACGCACTGACACCGCTGATGTTTGTGCACACATACACACCAACCACACCACACACACACTGACTCGTATTGACCAATCGTTGGGCCCATGGCGGCCATTAAAGGGAGAGGTGCTTGCTGCTGGTTGCGCCCCGCGGGCGGCGCGTTTCTTTGCCCTCTGACCGGTCAAACCCTGGGCCTTGGGATCTATCCCCTGCTGACTTGGCGCAGCTTTCCAATCCAAATCGCGGCACGCAATCTAGCGCGTCGTGCGGAGCGTGGCGCATGCCTTGAAATAGTACAAGCAGGGGGCCGGCGCACCTATGCGTACTGGCCTGGGATTCGTAGCTTTTCGCGTGCGTGCATCGAGATGGGCTCTATTTGACCGCAGCACAAAGCATGCGTCGCCGCCGCTGCTGCGCACGCGTCGACCGCGCCAACGCAGGCCGCTAGCCGGGCTGCACGGCGCCGGCAGCGCGCGTGCCGCTGTCGGCCCTGTGGCGCTGCGCCGGCGTTTGCGTGGCCTCCTTTTGTGGCAATCGGGCACTCCCTAGTTGTTTTCGATGCTCTCGATGCCTTGACTCGCACAACAACTGCTGGAAGCCAAAAAAAAAACCTGTGTCGATTTTGGTTGTTCAACCGCTAGTAGCGGTAGCACTGCCCCGCGCACACGGCGTGGAGTTGGCGTGACCGGGGGATTGAGCGGGCGGGGTGAAACGCTTGTGGGTTTGGTGCAGGGGTCGGGAGCCAGCCGGCGCCGCTCGCGCGAATCCGGCCGGGCTGCCGCCTGAGGCCGTGCGCATGGAACGGCGCTTGAACTGTTGCAGCAAGGCGCAGGGGCCCGCCACGCCGCGTCCTTAGAGGGCTCAGCCGGAGACCCCAGCGCGTGCCGCCTTGCTGGCTGCGGCGCCGCCAGCGCTTGGCCCTTCCGCGGCGTCCAGTGGGCTGTGCAGGGGGCGCGCCCTGGACGTCGTCAGCAGCAGGACGTGCGCGCGCTGCCCGCTGCTGCACTGTCCGGCCCTTTGGAAGACAACGGAATTCGCAACGGAACTCGCTGGCGAGGCGCACATGGCTGCTGCTGCTGCTGCTGCCCCGGCTCCGATAAGCACTGCCATAGGGTACGCAGCGCCCCCCATTGACACTGCTGAGCCCTGCTCTGTTTGTGGAACCCATATCAAGCTCACGCAAGCCCCTAGTTTAACGCTACTCAGCATTCAGGAGCGTAAGTCATCCCAGTGTTTGCAAAGGCACATCAGACGTTGAGGATTACAAGCCGCCTGCATCGTTATGGGCAGCGCGAAGCCCCCCGCGTCCGGAGCGCCGCCGCTGCGCCGGCGCCCCAGCGCTGGCGGCAGAAGGCTCGCACGCAGGCCCACAAATGAGCCGCGGGCCGGGCCGGCCACCTCACTCGTCGTCCTCGGCGTCGCCGCCGCCCTTGCTGCGGATGGGGTAGGGTGGAGAGTGGGTGAGGGAGTGGGCGGTGCGGAGCAAGCGGGGGCTGGTGGGGAGACGGGGCAGGCAGCCAGCATGCATTCTCACGCGGCCGCGTGCGCGTGCGCGCTAGCCGGCGCCGCCCGATTCCTGCTGCTGCGCCACTCACGCGGCCTGGTGCTTCCTCTTCACGCGGCCGGGGCGGCCGCCGCCAAAGGGCGAGGTGAGGCTGAAGTCGATGTGCTTCTGGCTGTCGACGCGCACAAGGAACGAGGGGATGTTCACCACCTGCTTGCCCACCCTGTTGAAAGGAGGGTGTGCGCGTGCGCATGTGTGGGTGTGTACTACTGTGCAGGTGCGTGTGTGTGGTCGCGTGGTCAGAATTATGGTGGATGAGGGCTGACCAAGCGGGAGCAGCAGACTGTGCGGCTCAGGGTGGCTCCATAATCCGCCGCGCTGGCCAGGCCGCTGCAACGTTACAGGACGAGGGTCAGCCTGGGCCCCCGCGTTGCGCGCACCCCACCCACTCCACGCGCTAGCTGCACAGAGGCCCACCGCGTCGACCGCAGCCGGAACTGCACACATGGATCACCGCTAGCTGCCGCCCCCCCAGAACCGCAACAACTCTATGCTGGAGCGGCTGCCACTCCAGCGACACGGGACCCAGCTGACACCGCCGCCGCCACCACCACCGCCGCCACTGCTGCCGCCGCTGCCGCGCGTGGCGTGAACCCCTTGCCCCCCCCATGCGCACGCGCACCTGATGTGGCGCTGGCGGATCAGCACACGCGCGTGGTGGATCGACTTGGCGAGCCCCTGCTTGAACACGAGCGTCTGCAGGCGGCGCTCCAGGAAGTCCTGCGGCGACAGAGCCAGCACGTAATCCAGCTTGTCCTGCGTCTCGTTGAGCAGGCCGTACTTGTACATGCGGCGCATCAGCGCGTTGCCCTCGAAGATGCGCTTGGGGTCCTTGTCCTCCAGCGTCAGCAGCACACGCGCCGCCTTGCGGATCTTGGACAGCACCATCTGCACGCGCCACAGCTCGCGCTTGTTGCGCAGGCCGTACTCGCCGACCAGCTTCAGCTCGGCGTCCAGGCGCTCCTTCTCGAAGGGGCGCCTGGGCTTCTTGAAGGTCTTACCATCTGCAAGGCGCAGGGCGCGATGCACAACGAGGGCAGGTGAAGGGGGCCGAATGCTGCAAGTGAAGTGCGGGGTCCCCACAAGACGGCGGGGTTCCCCGCCTGGACGAGGCTGCACTTCAACAGGTATTATGGTATGCGATTTCCACGATCGTCCAGCTGGCGGTGGCCGCGCTGGCTGCCACAGGAGCCGCCTGCACTATCACCGATCTAAGCCGTGCTGCGCAGTGTCCGCGGCCTGCAGAATAAAAAACATAGCTCTACAGCTGCACCACGCCTCTATCCACGCACATGAGCGATAGAAGCCAATCTTCGGCATCCTGGAGCGCTCAGGACGTCTTCGGGGGCTTCCCGAGCTACGTTGGAGGCCTGTTGGGGGCCTAAAGAGGACGAGGCAGGCGCGCGTCGGCGGGTTTGGGCCGCTGGTGCAAACAGCAGCAGCTGCTGCGTTTTGTGGCCGGTCGTCTCCCGCGCGCACGACATGCGAACCGCCGGCAATGCGTCCGTGCCGCTGGACAGCGCGACAATTTCAGTAGTTGTAGACCCACTGTTGATCGGCAGGAGCCCTGGGAGTGGACATGCAACGGTCTGGCAGGTTGGCGAGAACACCACACCGCAGGGTGGCAACCTGCCGCTTGTGGAGCTTGCCGCATTGCATGGGCTGGCATTCACCCGCAGCAGCCTCCGAGCAGCTGAAGCTGGGGATATGCCAGTTGTAATGTTGAGCTGTCTGAGGCATTTGCAGCTGCTTGCCGTATGTGCAATGACGAGCCCGGCATGGAGCACCACGCTGCGTGGTATTCCATGGATTGCAATTCAAGCGTCGTGGGAGAGGGGGCCGCTGAAAGTAGAATGCACGATGAGGCTGCTGAGTGCAGGCCCTGGTTCATACTAGAGCTTTGTCATGATGAATAGCATATTGGCCTCTGTCGTCTCATGTCGCTACGGGGCAAACGACCTCTGTGAGCACATCGGGTTTCCTGGCAGCCATCACTTGAATCAGGATGGCACTGAAAAATCTTCGCTCCCCGCAGTGTGGCCCCAGACTCACCACAGGAAAGCAGTTACATTGTACAGCAGACTATGCGGCTGGGAAGGTACCAATCTAGCCATGTGACTGTTGCTGTTAAAGGACGTCATTGCTGCAAAGAGCCTGAGTCAGAGCTCAGCAGGCCAAAGCTCTTTGAAGCGCGGCCATGCGGGCCATGCGGCCCCAGAGTCAGGCGTTGAGTGTTGACCAGTCAAACCTGATGGTAAACATTCTGAACTAGTTGTGTTGCACACTTAGCGAAATGGCTCGTGTGCTTAACTTTATGACATTTAAATAGCCTGCGCGTGTCATGGAGCACCTTGCCGATGACCCGGTGGCTGTCGAGGAGGGCGGGAAAGACGAAACGAACGAATCAGGAGTACGCCCAGATCAAATAAGCGCATATGCCCTGCCGGCTGGAGCGCAGCAGCAGGTTGGAGTTGGTGACGCTGCACTGCGCCACGCAGCTGCACAAGTGTTGGCTGCTGCAAAACGTGCGCACGTGGTTGCCCACGGTAGCCCCAACCACATTGGAACCAAAATAAACATGATTGCCTGAAACGCACCTCCTTGTGCCAATGCAAACAGCGCGTGAGGCGGCGGCGGCTGTTTTGGGCTGCTGTGGCCGGTGGGTTGGTCGTCATGGCAGTGCTGGCTGCGGTCTTGCCCGCTTGCCTCACAGGGGGCGGCCGCTGCGGGAGGCGGAGTCCTTCATCAAAAAGCCAGGTTTGTGATAATCACGGGGGGCGCCGTCTTGAGGTGCACATCATGTGCCATCTTGACAATCCAACTCGCTGATAGAGGAGACCCGGCCCTGCAAGGTGCAGCGCCCGCACGCACCGCGCAACGTTCGCCTACATATGTGCGTTGCGATCGCACGCAGACCGAGGCCGCTCTCCGTTTGATTGTGGCAGCTCGGCTGGCAGGTGTTGACGCCCGCGATGCGCTGCCGCCAGAGATCCGGCAGTTTGTGCAGCGCGTGAGGCTGCCCAGCAGCGCCCTGCAGGTGTGTGGGGGGGGACGCCGGGCTGGTGGCACGCACCAGGCGCAGCGAATGCCGGCGAGCTCCATTTTGAGCGTTGACACTTGCCCTTTCCTGGGTGCTGCCGGTGCAACTGAGGGTGTGGGGACCCCATGAGTTTGACGAGACAAGGTGTGCGGCCCGGCCACCATCACTGCAGGTACTCAGCCTCGCAAGCGAAGACCTTCTGGATGAGGCTCATCGCATCCTCGACAAACACGTCAGTGAGCACCTCATCATGTGCTGAGACAAGGACCACGGTTTCAGAGCCTTGAAAAACGCGAGCCGCCTGCGTGCAGATAGATAGATAGATAGATAAGTTACTCATACCATAGCAGCTTCAGCAGGTGCAGCTTCAGCAGGTGCACGCATCGCAGCTGCTCACATTCAGAGGCACATCACCCTGCCCAAGCGCACACGCTCATGATGTCGCTTTGTGTTGCCGCGCACGCAGACATCTCACTGGTCCTGAGGGACTTCAAAATGTCAGTGGGCGAGGGCAGCAACGGTCCGGCCCGACGCCGCCAGCGGCGGCGCCTGCAGCAGCAGCAGAGCCAGCTCCCGTGGCAGTTGACAAAAATTGGGGCAGACGCAGCGTGGGACGTCACCAAAGGTGTGGCAAGGCAAGGGTCGGGACTCATAGCCTGTGGATGTGAATTCCCTGCCCCCTCCGAGCGCGCTCATCGATGTTGCATGCATGTGGCAAACAGGGCGAATAGTTTGGGCCCTCACAGCTTCAACCCATCCTCCCGGCTGCAACACACACCACCCAACCTTGCCAATGACACGATGTGGAGGGCGGAACACGGTGGTGGTGGCTGTGCTGGATACAGGCGCTGACATCACCCACCCAGATCTTGTGTCAAGCCTGTGGTCCAACCCAAGGGAGATACCCGGCAACGGGATGGATGACGATGGCAATGGTAGGCAAAAATGTGGCAGGCTGCGTGACGACATTGCCTGGCGCGCACAGCAGACGTGCACAACGCTGGTACCCACCCACGCATCCCAGACCAGCTTGGGCTGCTCGTCACTCCCCACCCCTCGGAGCGTTGTGGCTGCCCCAGCGCCCTGGCAGTACCAGTACCGCTGCTGTAATGACAAGACGCCATGCCGCCCGCTGTTGGCATCCCTCCAGCCGCCTCGCACCTGACAAAGCAAAACTTACTGCTGGCCCCAAAACTCGCCAGGGTTTGTAGATGACGTCAACGGCTACAGCTTCCTGGGCGCCTGCAATGGGGAGCTGGACATGTTTGGCGACTGCAGCCAGTGCGGGCCGACCAGCGACGTGACCGATGACGACGGACATGGGACGCATGGTGAGATGTTGCCAGCTGGCTTGCAAGGATGGCTGGCTAGCTATTTTAGTTGGTTGCAGGGCGCCGTACGCGTGTCGCCTGTGCACTTTGTCGCAGTGTGCACGGGGCCAACAATGCTCAAATCAGGGCGACGCGATTGCGGTGACTGCATCAAGCAATGGGTGCGGGCCGCGGGTCTTCCCCTCATCAACACGCACGGCCCCGCCTCTCGGCACACGCACCGCAGTTGCTGGCATTATCGCAGCCGCTAGGGACGCCGGGCTGGGGGTGGCAGGGGTTGCCCCAGCTGTCAAGATCATGGTGCTCAAGGTTTGAAACCTGCGTATGTCGTCTGCGGGGGGTTTGAGGCACCAAAATCAGTTTGCCAGGTGCTTCGATCAACCACTGCTGTTTGAGTCGTCTGACGGGTTGGCGTTCGCCCTGCCACTCTGCCCGCTCAGCCGACTCTGCTCACTCTGCATCAAACCGGCCCTTACAGCGGCCCTTACAGCGCTCCAGGCGCCTGGCGAGCTTCAACACGCAAACGCCTCCCCTCAACCGCGCGCCAGGTCAGCGACTGCGCCACGGGCGCCATCTACGCGGCCGCCGTCTTCAGCGCCCTCGACTACGCCCTGCGCATGGGCGCCCAGCTCGTCTCCTGCTCATTTGGCCGCTCCTACCCAGACGGGTTTGCGCCCGTCAGCTACCCCCCACCGTCCGAGGGCCACCAGGCGCAGGCGGCCGCGTACCTGCAGGCCGTGATGCCCCTGAAGAGCGCCGGCGTGCTGCTGATGGCCGCCGCAGGTGCGCCCCGCCGCCTTGCGCATGCGCGTGTGGTTCCATCCCCCTGGCAGCGCAGTTTTTTGCTTGGTTCTGCCGGCCTTGTGATTTTTGCACTCCACATGGCTCTTTTTGGCAGCTCAATGTCAATCAACGCCCCTTGGCCCCACTCGCAGGCAACAATGCGCTCAACCTTGATTTGCTGAGCAGCTTCGGCTACTCCAACAACCCCTGCCTAACGGGCACCACCTTGGACAATGTGCTGTGTGTGGCCGCCACGCTCGAAAACGACACCCTCGCCTCTTACAGCAACTATGGGCTGCGGGCGGTCGCCATCGGCGCGCCGGGCAGCGTGCGCAGCACGTGGCCAGGTGATTTGTGCGGCGCCCTCCAGTGCTTTATGGCTGCCTGGCTCACATCCGCTCGGGCAGCTGTGTTGATTACTGCCTCACCACGTCACCCCCTGCGAACACATGCAGATGCGCGGAAAGCCAACTGCTCACCCTGCAGCACATCTGCCCACGCACGCGTGCCTGCTCCTGCTCTTGCCGTCCAACCCCGCACCCCCAGGCAAGACCGCCAGGGACTTGTGGGGCACTTCCATGGCGACGCCTGTGGTGACGGGTGCCGCGGCGCTGGTGCTCTCCACTGTCTCTATCCTTACGGGCAACACCACAGGCCTGGCCTCGGCTGTCAGGCAGCTGCTGCTCGCATCCGCCGCCGCGCCGCCCTCGGCGGCCGGCACGTTCAACCGCCGCGTCGACGCCGGCGCCGCGGTGCGCGCGGCGGTCGCCAAGTATGCGCCCGCCGGCAGCCTCCCGTCGCCGGCGCCCCTGGCGGCGGGCGCGATGGAGGGCGCCGCGATGCAGCACACCACATTTGCGGAGCGCTACTACAAGGCCGGCGTCCCCGGGGGCTGGCAGGCGGGCGTTGCGCTGGACACGTCGGCACGTGCGGCGCAGCTGCCGCTCGGAGGCTTCAAGTATGGTGCCGGGTACACCGCTCGCTTCACGGCGTGCACATACCTGGGAAGCTCTGGTGAGCGTGGGGCGCTCTGTCGTTTGACCTTATTGTAACTGCCAGGCCGGCCTCAACCCACCGCCTCGAGGCAGATGACGTTGAGCGCCGTCTTCCCGTCCCCCAAGGCCATCGTTTCAAGGACCCCTTGGTCGCACTTGTTTGCGGCCTCCCTTCCCGCCAGGCATCTACAGCGTCCGCGTCACTGCGGCGGCCGCGGAGCTGGCCGTCTCCGGCGCCGCCGCGCCCTCGCGTGCCGGCCCCGGCAGCCGCCTGTTCCTCTTCCGCGCCCAGGCGGCCGGCTGGTACACCTTCGACCTCGCCCTCACAAACGCCACCGGCTCCGTTGATATGGAGATTCAAACGCCGGCGTCCGGGACCTACTTGCGCATCACCAGCTGGCTCGCGCCCCCGGCGACGCCACCGCCGTTGCCGGCGCCCGGGTTCGTCACATCCCGCGCGTCTTGGACCGTGTACTACAACACGACGCCCTCCGTCATCAGCCTCTGCCCCGGGGCGCTCGCCAGCCTGGGGGGCGCACGCCAGCCGGGCGCGCTGGCGGCGCTGCAGAACGCGGCTGTTGCGCCGGCGCTGGCATTTGCGCCGGGGGAACTGCGGGCGTTCCTGTTCCCGGGTGGCGTGGCGGCGGGCGCGGGCGCCGCGGGGGTCGTCCTGGGCGGCGTGGACGTGGCTGCCAACGCCACGTACACCTTCAAGGTGATACAGGGTGACCGGAGTGATTCTTGCTTCGGCCTGCTGCCCGGTGGAGTCGAGACAGCGTGCACATGACTTGGACACGTATCGGCCTGGCTCTCAAGGCCGGCACTGCTGCTGGCCTTGAAGCCACCTGCCGCCCCCACAGAAAAAACCCTGACATAAACCCCAAAACCTGAACCCTAGTAATTGGCCCAAACATCCCTGTGCGGAGTGCTACTATGCGGGCAGCTTCCGTCATGCGAGACGCTTTGCAAATGCCCCTGCACCATCCCGGCAGGTGACCTGCAAGGGCTGCACACTCTCGGTGGGCGGGCAGCTGCTGATTGACTCATGGCAGTCCACATCGGTTCTCAACGGCACGGCCAAGCAGAGCGGGTGCACCAAGTTCCAGCGGGCCGGGGTCCAGAGGGTTCAGGTCAACTTTGGGGGCGCGGCGCTGGCTGACGCGCCCCTGCAGCTGCACTGGGCGCCGTGCAGCGCGACCAGCACCCTCAACTGGGTGCCTGTGGCGCCCGCCGACGCGAGTGCGTGGGTGCCGGCGGAGGCGCTGACTGGATACATCGGCGGCGCACAGTGCGACGTGTGGCGCGGCGCGGTGGTGGCGCCAGCGGGGGTCGCGCCCATGTTAAAAGTGCGGCTGCCGGAGGCGTCGGCCTCCGCAAACCCTGTGGATGCGCCGCTCTCATCCGGCTTCCCCAGCAGCCTTGAGGTGGGCGGGTCAGCCCTTTGCTGCTCTTGAGATATGAATGAGCTTATGAGCTTCTCGATTCAGCTACACAGCCAGCGCAAGGGCATGGTGCAAGAAACGCCTGGTCAACAATTCATCACGCAGGGCAGGGTCCAGTGGGTAGCAAGCACAGCAAGGGTGGCACAGCAAGGGTGGCACAAAGCTGCCATGCCATGCTGTGGACGAGTTACTGTGTTTAGTCCTCCCTTTGTCATACCCTTTCCGTGGGCAACACCCTAATGACGGCCAAGCATTCCCGCATTGATGCCCATCCTGTCGTCTCAGGGCCTCCTGCCAGGGCTGGCGGCGGCTTACCCTTCCACCAGCCCGCAGCTCTTCAGCGCCCGCTGCTGGGCGTTCACGTCCGCCGCGCTCGGGGCCATCACCATGTTGCCCAAGGGCGCCTCGGCCGCGTACCTCGGACACGCGCAGGTGCGGGGCTGATCGCCCGCGGACGCGCGGGTCAAAGCGCCGCCGCTCGACTGCCACGCACGCTGCGCCATGCTTGACTCCCGCTGAATGCTGTCATTGGCTGGCAGGGACCGCGTCACAAAACGAGGCGGCGTTTGAAGCCTTGCCTGCGCAGCACTGCCCAACAGCCAAGCCGCAACCTGAGTGCCTTGCGCCGCCTGCCCGCCCGCCTGTCCGCTTGCCACGGCCAGGTATGGGACGGCGCCCAGGCGACGCCGCCCGCGGCGTGGCGCCACGCCGCCAGCGGCGCGGTCCTGCGGCCGCTCGTCCTGGAGTGGCGCGGCGTCGCGGCGGCCCAGGCGCTCGCCGTCTACGCGAGCGGGGCGCCGCTGCGCGTGTCCCTCGCGGCCATGCGGCTGCCGCTGCCGGTCCAGCCGGCGGCCGACCCCCGCTTTGTCGGTGTCCCCGGGCACGCCAGCCAGGCATACTATTCGCCGGCCCCCGCACTGCCAGACTTGCCGGGGCTCATCTTGTTCGACGCCTCGCAGCTGACGGCACGCGGCGCGTACAACAATGCCACCGCCGGCCTCGACGTCGCGGTGGGGTCGTACTTCGGCGTCCCGCCCGGCGCGCTGCGGTACGCGGTGACAACGGGTTACACGACGTCTCCCGCGACGACTAAGGGGCGCCTCTTGCTCGCGCGCCTCAGCTGGGCCAACCCCGCCGGCCAGGGTGCCACCCTCGTGGCCGGCGGAGCCTCCGGCGTCACGATTCGCAACGGCGACGGCTTCGGGCTGCGGGTTGCACCGGGCGCGGCGGCTGAAAGCTTCTCCTACGATTTTTACCTCCCCCCTGGCCTGCTGCGGCTGACGGCCGTGGTGAAGACGCAGGCGCCGGGGGCCGGCGCCGCGTTTTTCGCATCGCTGACGACGGCTGGGCAGGGGGGCGCTGCGATCGGCGCGCGCAATTGGCTGAAGGCGTTGGACCTGTGATTGCACGGGCCCCCTTGAGATAGCGCTGATTGAACCCGTGTGGTGCATGAGACGAATTCTTGCTGCGCCTGATTGATTCATGTTGGGTGTTTCAAGCAATAATGTGCAGAACCATGAAGTGTTTTAGCTCAGTGTGTGTGTGTGTTTGTGTGGTTGTTTTGCATTACACATATGCAGGCTGAAGGCCAAACGTACAGCGCTGCATCCTTTGTACAACGCATGTGTGCAGCCTAACTGGATGGCGATAATGTCACTTGTGTGTAGCCTGGTCCCCGTACTCGTGCTCCTCCTGTCACGCAAGAGTAAAATGACATGGCTCCTGTGCCCTAAACCCTGATATTGTGGGACCCATTCCCCTGGCAATGATGCCAACGTGATCTCGGCCGCCGACAGGCACACTACTCACGGGGCTGCCCTTTGAGATGGTGCGCCCCCAACGCGCCAAACCCACGCAATCACCGACGACCACGCCCCCATGCCGCCACTGCCAACTATGCCACCACGCCCGACCGGCATATTCCTGAGGAGAAATAACCTTGGCGGCTGTCCGCATTGGTTCAGGGCGTGCCTGGCCTTGCCAGTTGGCCGAGCAGGGGCGTGAGGCCCGGCTTGTGTTCGCCAATGACTGGCAGGGAGCCCACAAGGGCACGCCTGACGGTTTGCTGGTGGTGTGCGGCCGCAGGAGATGCCAGCGCTTGGCACTGCAACGCCTCCGCCGGCCCCTCCCCCAATCCACCCGGCACGGGCCAACACACCAGGTGTGAGCAGGAGCACTCAGCTCCTGACGGATGAGAGCAGCTGAGCAGGCACCCACGGCGTGCCCCTCATCCGGCACCTTTGCGGCATTGCCAACCATTCTATTCACGCGCGGACGCCTCCTCCCGCGCAGCATACAGGTGTGGACCGCGCCGTGCACTGCGTTCCCGCTTTGCGCTGTGCTGCTTCGCTGCAGTACGGCAGGTGACCACCGCAGGGTGGGCTGTGCTCCCACATTGGAAGCTATAAATTCATCATTGCATTCGAGATGTGAAACTCGTGGCGCGATCATACCGCACGGGCGCGTGCAGCCACCTGGGTCAACAACGTTGTCAGCGATATCTCAAAAACCCAAGGGCACGGTGAATTGAACATCCATACCGTGATTTATATTATCTGGACCAACAGTCCCACACAGACGCAGCTGTCAATCTGTTGTGCGAAGCTGTTCGAAGGCGGTGTGCACCAGAGGCCTCGACACGGGGTGCGCGGCCGGGAAGGGCGTATATTTTGGACTCACTGCTCGACAGCGCACCTCTCTGCTGTGCAAGCGCGTGTGGCACCGCCTCTCACCCTGCGTGCACACCATGATGCTGCTTGCAGCGCGTCGCTGAGAATGCCATCGGAGCTTCCTATCTGATGGCGGCGATCGCTACCCCTGAAGCACCTTTGTCAGGGTGAGGCGCTGCGGTGCTGTTTCCGATCCCCGCAGCAGCCATGTGCAGCAAGGCCCATGCGCTCAACAACGCAAGGCTGTGTGATGCCATCTTATCATACGTGCCTGCTGCATTTCAGCAATCCCGAAGAACTGAATGAAAAATCATCGCGGCCTTGAGCACGCGCCCATCATTGCCGCGCTGGCCCGCCCGCTCCTTGCAGGCGGGGAGGCGGCGGC